AAAAAAAAAACAATCCTGATGATTACAAAGGCTTTTTCGCTAAATTGCGAAAAAGCCAAAAAAAAAAAAAAAGATCAGAAGTAATGCCTTCTTCGCAAAATTGTGAAAAGGCCAAAAAAATGAGAGTTTCTGTGTCTGTTTGCAACAGAGCATAGGGCTTTTCCGCTTTACATTGAAAAGGCCGTCGTCGTGATTGCATATCTTCAAATTTTCATCCCGCTGGGACATATACTTTTTGAAGAAATGAGGCTTTAAGGGATACACCTTTAATGTCACATGACTTGTTTACTGATGACGTCATCATCCCATGAAGTCAATTTTCGTCTATCACACGTCCCCTTTCAAATATCTGCTAACTTTCATCCCGCTGTTCCATGTCCTTTGGAGATACAGGGCCTTAAAGAGTGCACCTTTAATGTCACGTGACCTGTCTCTTGATAACGTCATCATCAAATGACGTCAACATTCGTCTCTAGCTCTTGTCTTTCTGGTTATCGGCAAAATCTCAACTAGATCCAACTGGTAAATATCTGCTATTCGTAAGGGGACACTGGGCATCCTGGTGACTCTTTCATGAACGCCATGTATGTATTTTATGTGTAAATTGGGGGCATTTTGCTTCTTGCAGTGACTTCAGTCACACAACCTTTTCTCACGTGTTTCCTGTCTTGTTTCAATGTACGTGCATGTAGTAAGGCATTGGTGGTGCACGGTGGACCGTTGCGTGTACGCGTCATGGATGCATGAACTTGCGTACATGTACATTGCACTTTTCCGCTGTGATCCTTGACTCAGGACATGCAGTTTGTGCGGGCGTGCTTTTATAATCTTTCCAAGCTGTCAATGGGCGACACTAATGCACAAATAACATTACACATTTAGATCATTATGGGTTTACATTTTACTTTGCAGACAATTACTCCTTTGTTGCTGTAATTATTGTTATTTTTATTTATGCTAAAATTTAATGTCATATTGCAGAACAGCCTTGAACGCATGCAGCACATCAAGTAGGCCTACATACATTTTAATTAATCCAGAGATTGTTGGCGAGGAGCTGGGTGAGTTTGATGCGTGTCCACATCCTTGGAGTGTGTGATTTTCTTTGTAATTTATAATTTGAATCATATATGATTGTATTAATCACAGATAATGACTGTGCGATTCCTGTTATTTTTATTCAGGATTTGTTACAGCTGGGATTTGTTTCTGCTGGGACTTTGTCTCAACTGGATTTTGGTGTAGCTGGGATTTGTTACGGCTGAAAATCAATAAACCCAACATCAAGTATCATTAACTTTGATTGACCGGTATCCCTTTTTGGAGGAAAACATTTCACCCAACGTGGGCTCAGGGCTTGCGTACCCCGAACCAACGCACACGCGTCGCTTCACTTCATGAAAATTATCGGTTTGTTTGCTAACTTTGTGTCTAATTTTCACATTTTTGCCGGGTTTACCTTCAAGTAACTTTGATGTCACGTGAAAGACTACTAACTCTTGTGATAAAAAAGTTTATTACTTCTAGGTAGAAAACTTTTTTTGAAATTCACTTCGTTTTTCATTGGGACCCAATTTCGTCATTTTCGGGGTTTTCACCCTCAGGTCATCGGTGATACTGTCTGGAAGGCTGATGAATTGTTTGTATCCATCGGTTCATTTCTTTAAGATCAAGAGCAATTTGCCCGAAATGTGGTTCGTTTTTCATGCAGATTCAAATTTCTGCACTGAGTCCGACACGACCGACAGCGGTCAAAAACTAGATGTTCGGATTTTGGGCATGGGATATACGTACATTCTCACCCTGAGCTCGATGTTGATCAATTACTTTTGGGGTCCACATGTCCAAGTCAAGAGTCATTTTACTGGCTTCTGCCTGTAAACTAAGTGAGGAGCATGAACATACGTGGACCGTGAACTGACCGGGTGATTAGAGTCTCCAAGTGGAGAAAACAGTCTTCGCTTTTGGGCGTGGCTGCCCCGAAGGTTGACGTCACACTCACGAACTGGATTGACACCTGGTGCACGCCCGTTATATACCTTTTGGACCAATAGCTTGTGGTAATTTGGCAATGCACGCGCGTCAAGCTTACTGCTTAGACTCAAATTCATTGATAGAAAGAAATTTTATGCGAATCAATTTTTATATCTTATTTCACTCTTCAATGTTTTTAAAATTCATTTTCATTAAGATAGTATTATTTATTTGAATTGACGCAGTTGTGACTACATGACCAAGTACGTGCGTCCAATTGCAGCAAAGTATGAATCCAAATGTAAAGAATATATCAAACTTAATAACTATGACTTACTGCATTTGATGGTACACTTGCCAGAAACTTCGGATTTTGTGTAGTCGTAAGTGGTGGCATACGTTTCTATGCCCCAGCAGCCCATTTCATCCGTTGCTCTCCCGTAACATTCGTCGTGTTGTTTACAACACCTGAATAGAAACGGATTTGAATGTAATTTAATAATTTAATAATAATTTAATTTAAGGGTCCAGAGCTCAGAGGGCCATATCATATACAGTGGTGGCCACTGTATATGACATAAAACTTCGCACTTGTGGATGTGTATTACAAATGCGCTGGGTATTTCAGTAATGCCAAAGTTTGTGAATACCTGGTCGACACATAACGTTTTCAACTGAACCAGTGCATTAACCTCGAATCCTCTACAGGGACGTTGAATGGAAATATCGCAATCCCGTCTTAAATCGGCCAAGTATGCCATTCAGAGACTTACCCAGAAAATTAAAACTATTAGCAATGTTTTTAACATTTGATTAAAAGAAGTCTTTTTTGGGGGGGGGTGGGGGAGGGAGATGAACCTTAAAGAGACAGCTTAGCACAAATCAGCTTGAAAGGGTTGACTTTAAGCTTTGGTATTACGTACCTGTCAGTGTCGTCCAAGGGTGTGCCCTTCCCGCCGCGGCCACAATAACAGCCATAGCCGTTGTATTCTAACCCTTCCAGGACGTTAAGATTTCCCAGGCACATGACCATCCTGCCAAATTGGTACAGGTTCTGAATCTCCCCTGCTGATGCAGCGCCTGTCGGGTCAAAGAGAGAAATGAAAAATATTTGGAATTTGAGCAGTCATCCTAACACAATTAGTTGAACATGTTGGCTTGTTACCGGTATTACAGGGCAAAAAATATTGAAATTTTGAAGGAAAAAAAATTACATAAATATTTGTGTATATATTGCAAGTATCGACATCTGCTAAGAAAACAAAATAATAGCCTAGAACATGACTCGTTTGACGATCGTTCTGTAAATTGAAATGTGTCAGCATTATCATTAATATTACATTATTTCATACGAAACCGAACCACCGAACTTGTGCATGTGCAAATGACGACATGCACCACGAACACCTCAGCTTTGACCCGTTCAACTAATCGACTAATCTCTCAACCGGGTGAACAACAGTCGTATACGGACACAGTGCATCAGAGGTTGAGGTAACACCTGCACTTACGACTGGCAATCACAACAAATTATACTACGTTTTAATAACTCAGTGGATGGATGGATATATCAGTAATGTATAAGTACAAAAAAGTACGGTTAAGTTGGTAATATGTGCTTCAAGTCGTTACAATTATCCAATCGATGCAAAGCGGTAAACACAAGTGATACGCCATCTCTTCATAGGGCTATAATAAAGAATGCTTCAAGAGTAAACTAAAGGACGTAAACTTACCTGCCAGGGAAACCGTAGTCACTATAACAACCAGAAAATTCATGGCGAAGGTTGGCTGATGATGGTCGAAATATTGAAGAATTAGTGCTAGTTGCTTGATGCTAACAGTGTGAAAAATTTAGAAGTCTGTGGTTGTTTTAAATCTTGATA